ACCTAGATAAACTGCTGTGGTCAGTGGGCAAGGTTCCAGATTCAGGGGCGGGCCCAGGAAGGGGCGGGCGGGGGCGGGGGGCAGCAGGCCAGTTACAAGGCCAAAGAAGAGACGTCCTTGGCTGAAATGGGGCTCATGACACTCCTCAGAGCTCAGGGAAAATGGTCCTGGAGGGTGATCTGAAGCCCTGGTTCCTCCAGTCCCTTGGTGGGGGAGATGGAGGGGGGGAGAGGTAAGGCCAGTCAGGCAGCTTGGGTTCACTTTCCCCTCTCCAGGGGCTGCCGTGGCCATTCCCTCCCTCCTACCCTCACCCCCCGTCCCCCCACCCCTGCTCATAATCACAGGGAAGGGCTGAGGAAAACTGGGGTGAAAGAAGGGCCAGGGGAGGAGAATACATGAGGACGGCTGCCTGCCAGGCCCCATCTGGAACCACTTGGGAGAAACGGGCTTTTCTGCTCCCCCCACCTTCAGCCGGTCCACCCATCCCCAGTCACTAGGCAGGAGGGTTTAGTGGTGGCTGGGAATCTTTCCCAGTGAAATGAGCATGCAAATCTCCCTTCTTTACAATGCAAAGACACTTCTCAACCTCAACTAGGCCTTCTAGCTGCTTCCCTCGCCTTCTCATTTGAAAATATCTACCTTGGGTCTCCAGTCCCCCCCCCCCCCGCCCCCACTCCTGGATTCCTGACCCGAGTCACCCTCCGCTGATGCTGCTCTGGGAAAGGTGAGCCCTGCCACGTTCTGTGATTGGCTCTCTCAGCAGCACGTTGTGCTGTGGCCGACCCCACACTCGCCTGTTCTCCTCCGGCCCGCTCCCACGCGCATCCGTCTCCCCAAGGCTGATGAGGTCTTTCCTGCTTCTCCTCCTAGATGTACACATGGCCTGCCTGTGCATGTCTGTCCCCTGCTCTCCATCCCGCTGCCCCGGGCCTGGTTCAGACCCCCCGTCCCCTTCTTGGACATCAGCACCAACTGTACCAACTGCTTAACTGGTCCCCAAGCACCCAGTTGGCCCCAGCCCTGTTCTGCCCCTGCCAGGGAACTCTTTCTGAAATGCAGGTCTCATCAAGGGACTGCCTTGCTGCGTGCTTTCCTGTGGTTCTCGTCACTTTAGGACATGAGTCCAACTTCTGGGGCTTAGCTGCTCAAGATCTGACCCCTACCTACCTGTACACTTCTCACCCCTCCATTTTAAAAGCTGCATCAGTTGGCCCCAAAGTGGAGACAGACTATCTACTTAGAATTCCTCTTCCTAATTATTTTCATCTTAAAAAAAAAAGCAAAATTAAGCTTTTTGATTAATTTGATGATGTTTACCATATAGATCTATAATAGTACATGAATAAAATTTATAAATAAATATACATATTTATGGGGTGTGCTCAAAACATTTTAGTGATGGAGTGTAAAGTTAAAAGAGCTTGTGGCCACTGCCCAACATCACCACCCGTCTTACTGCCCCATCCTCAGTGCCCCTGCTCGCGTGCTCTGGCAGACCTTTGTACCCACCACTCCATCTACCACATGAGGGTGAAGTTAGCTATGGGTAATAGAATATTCAACCATGTACCTTAAAGAAGCTACACGTTTTTTTGTTCTCTCATATAAACTAAGCAGCCCATGGATGGTGCGGCAGCTCCAAAATCATCTGAGATCCAGGCTCTTTGAACTTATTGCTCTACACTTTTCAAATCATGCTTTCCAGCTCATGCCTCAAAATGGCTGCTGGAGCTCCAGCCATTACATCAGCATTCCAACCGACTAGAAGAAGGAAGGGGTGAAGAGGGACTTGCCTCTCCTCACTTTAAGGATATTTCTGATTATTAGAGACAGAGAATGACATTTACTAATGATAAAGAGATGGACCCACCAGGATGATATCACAACTCCAAATCTATATGTACTACATAAAATAGCTGCAAGATATATGCAGCAAAAATGAACAGAGTTACCCAACAGTAGAGCACAGGGAACTATACTCCGTATCTTGTAATAGCCTGTAATGGAAAAGAATCTGAAAAAGAATATATATATAACGGAATCACTTTGCTGTACACCTGAAACTAACACAACATTGTAAATCAACTGTATTTCAATAAAAAAATTTTTAAAAGAAAAAAATGAACAGTTCAAGGATGGACATACAAATTCATGGTCCTAGTGGGAGTCTGATATACTTTTTTCAAGAGACAGTAGAACAAGCAGACATGAAATCAGCGAGGATGTAGCTGTGAAAAGTGCAGTTACCAAATTTAACCTAATTGACGCCCATAGAACTCTGCTCCCTACAGTGACAGGATTCACCTTCTCAAACGCACACGAAACATACACCCAAAAATGATACCTTAAGTTGCATACACTGCTTCTGCTTCCGTGCCTTTTGCGAGCAGTTAATCCTGACTGTACCCAGTAGGAAGAGAGGCTGGGAAGTGTCGTCTGCTCCAGGGGGCCAAGTACCCAACTAAAATGGGGGATTCTTGTCCTAATCTAGAGGGGAGAACAGGTATTAAGGAAATCAGCAAACTCGGTCCTCCTTGCTCCCTCCCCCGGCCAGCTCTGGTCCTGAGAGCACTGCATGGTGGGTAAGAGCTTGGGCTGAGTCAGAAGCTCCTTGTTCTGTTCGTGCTTTGCCACGTACTTGCTCTGTGACTTGGACACTTTATTTAACCTGTCGGAGCTTCAGTTTCCTTATCTTGCAAAAGGAATGGGAATAACCCTACTTCATAGGGCTGTTGGGAAGCTGGAACAAGATCGCCCGCCCGTGTAAAGCACTTAATCCTGGGCTTGGCACGTAATAAGTGCTCAGTAAGTTAGCTGCACAGAGAAATTAAGTAACTTGCCCAAGGTCACACAGCCGGGAAATGACAAGGCTGGGTTTCACATCCAGGCATCTGGCTCCAAGCTGGTTCTGACACTTCTTTGGGGGCCTCTGCCAGCCCTAGCATAGGGCCCCATGTATGGTAGGGTCCTGTGTAAGGAGCACAGAACAGGGGGTTAGGCAACCATTAGCCATGTGACTTGAGAGAGGTCATTTGAAAATGAGTCTTAACTCAGACATGTATTAATTTCCTCATTCCTTCTGCAGAAGGTTGGATTAAGTGAGTCCAGAGGTTTTTGCTGACCCTGACATTCCACAGCACCGTGGGCTTCTGTCTTCTCTACCCCTCAGGGCCGAAACTTTACCATTAGAAATATGTTTCTTTTGTTAAATCCTGTCATCTGCCTGAACTCTTTTAAAAATACAGTTTCCTTCAGAGGGTCCTGACCCCTTGGTCTGCAGGTCTAGAGAAGGTTCTGGTGCATGAGTCCAGTGGGCCCCGGCTGGGAGGGGAGGGCCAGGCAAAGGGAGAAGAGAATGCAGACAGGAGGGGCTGGGCCCCAAACAGACGGTCAGTTTACCAATGGCCCTGGTGGCCCAGAGGGTCCCTCGTCAGGACCTCGTGCACAGTGACCTGCACAATGACCGTGTAATAGCTCCCGGTCCAGTCGCCTGGCTGACCCCATCTAGCACCACTTTTTACACTTTTTTATAGGGCTTCCTTTTTTCTCCTTCTGTATTTTTTCCACCACCCTACCTCTCAGACTAAATCGGAGAAAAATGGGTTTTGTCTTTTTTTACCAAGAAGACAAAGTCTTAAATTACCTTCTTCAAGGTCTGCAAATAGAAATCCCAAATAAGACAGCCACCTCTTCTTTTCTGTCTTCCTCTCGCCCTGTCTCAGGAGCCCATGAGCTTGAAATAAAACTCAGCACGGTGGCTCCAGGGGAAGTAATCTGGGCCCGGCCGGCACCAGCCGCGGAGAGGCGGGGCAGGGCAGTGGCGGGGGGGGCCCGAGCAGACACTGGTGGGAATGGAGGAGAGGGAGATGGAGGTGGGCAGAACCAAGGCCTGCTTGCTCTGGGTCTGGAATAAAAGAGGTCCCCCTAAAGGGGACGGTTCCTCAAGGAGCAGCTACGCTCTGAGTGTCAGAGCGTGTGTGTGTGGGAGCCCAGGGAATGAGAGAAGCCCGAGGAGAGATCTCGGAGGCTGCTTTGGGATTTAGATGCAAACAGGATCACCGGGCACATGAACCCCCATCTTCTCATCCCACTGACGCCACGGTTCCCAGAGAGCCCACCAGCGGGCATCGGGACAAGGGGAAGGAGCATGGTTCTGGGGCAAAGGCTAGGAATTTTAGGGCTGGCGCTCTGGGTTCTAACCCCTGCCACATGTAATATTAATAGCCAACAGTATAGAGCACTTACTCCGTGCCAGGGACTGTGGTCAACACCTCACGTAGATCATCCCATTTCATCTGCAAGACAACCCTGCCACGTGGGCATCATTATTCTCTCCAGTACAGAGGAGGGCACGAGGACGAGAGGTTACGTAACTACCCACATTCTCACATACCTTGTGACAGATCAGGGTTTAAACCCAGGGAGCCAGACTCCAGATCTTGTCATCCTACTGCCAAACCACTCGGTCTACCGACCTGCTTCCTCCTTTGGAAAGTCGAGGTGCTGGGGTGGCCTGGGGATCATCGAGGTCCTTTCCAGCACAGATGCTCTGGTTTGGGGCTCGTGCCTCACCTGCGCATGCAGAGGTCCTGTTCAAATGATACAGGATTCCACCGCAAGGCAGGCACGCCGAGTGTGTGTGTGTGTGTGTGTGTGTGTGTGCAGGACAGGTGAACTTGTGTCCTGCCACCCTGCTAAGACGGGGGGGGTAATAAGAACACAGTAGCAGAGTGCAGAGTCTGTAGGAAGACTTGCAGGTTAGTCCTGCATCAGAAGGGCCAAACCAAGATCCACAGCGCTAGAAAATTCTGCGTGGTTCACCTGCATTTTGTGTCCAATGACCTTGGCGTTTCTCTGCTCTTTGCTTGGGGCTGCACACCCCCAGTCTGAGAGTCCCCGGCCAGACAGGCTAGGATGCCCTTTGAAGGGAACCTCGCCTGGCTCTGGGCGGGCGAGGCCGCCTCTGTGGACCCCTGGTCACACGTGTGTCTTCTTTGCAGGCCCAGCAACCATGGCCCATTACAAGGTCGATCAGGACGACTGGCTGACCGTCTACTTGAAGTATTTACTCGCTGTCTTTAACTTCTTTTTCTGGGTAAGTGAACCCGGCACGTGCCACCCGCTTCTCCAGCACCGTGTGAGTCAAGCCGTCTTTGCTTTTTGTGAGTCATCGCTCTGGAGCTGATTTTTTCCAAATCAAAGACCACCCATGGGCTAATTCTGCTTACTTGAAAGCAAACGTGTACATCTGCTACTGAGGGGGAACCTAAGACTCGGCTTGCAGGTTGGCGTGGAGTCCGTACCGCACGGCAACCGGGCATCGCAATGAGCTTGCGTCCCGGCCTCAGTCCGCAAGGTCTGGCTCTCCCTCCCCTGCTAACTTGCGGCTCCAGTGCCTGGTGGGAAATATGACGGCCTCAAATAACTGCTTGTTTTCCTCCGAAGCCCATTTGCCTTTCATGATTCACATTCTCCAGGCCCAAGGCAGAGAAACATAAGTCCTGGGGGGCCCAGGGCTGCGTCTGTGCATCGGGAATGGTCTCTGTAGCGACTCCCCGCCGGGGAAACCACCCAGGCTAGGTTATCCAGGAAGAAAGGAGTCTGTCCACTTGAGGCAATTATCTGGATAATTGGTAGCAGAATACCACCAGGTCCCAAAAGAGCCAGACACTGGAATGTGTCTGGAGAGGCAGAAGGGGGCTAACGGTGCAGGCGTTGCCGTCAGCAGACAGGCTCTGCCGTAGGCAACTCACCTACGCTGGCTGAGCCTGTGTCTCCAGTTAAACGAAAGCTATTTGGCAATGACCAACCCGCTGTTTTGCCTAATATAACTTCCTTGTTCCCAACCCTTCTGCCTAGAAGTCTTTCGTTCTGTATGTGGCTCTCAGAGCTCCTTTGCATCCGCTAGATGGGATGCTGCCTGATTCAAATCGAGTTTTGTTCAAATCAACTTAACATTTTTAATGTGCCTCAGTTTATCTTTTATTTTTTTAATTAATTAATTTATTTATTTATGGCTGCGTTGGGTCTTCGTTGGTGCGTGCGGGCTTTCTCTAGTCGCGGCGAGCGTGGGTTACTCTTCATTGCGGTGCGTGGGCTTCTCATCGCGGTGGCTTCTCTTGCTGCGGAGCACGGGCTCTAGGTGCGTGGGCTTCAGTAGCTGTGGTTTGCGGGCTCAGTAGTCGTGGCTAGCGGGCTCTAGAGCTCAGGCTCAGTAGTTGTGGCGCACAGGTTTAGTTGCTCTGCGGCATGTGGGATCTTCCCGGACTGGGGCTCGAACCCATGTCCCCTGCATTGGCAGGTGGATTCTTAACCACTGCGACACCAGGGAAGTCCCTCAGCTTATCTGTTAGTAGTGTATTTCACAGACGCCCTGAAATGGTGTATGTGAAGCGCTTAATTCCGTCTCTGCACACAGAAGGCATTCAATAAATGCAGTCTTTTGGGTATATTAGCTGTAGAAGGCCCGAAAAAGCCAGCAGGTCAACCTGCTCGTAAGGCAGGGCTGAGTCTCCTTGTTGCCATGGCAAAGGATGCGCTCTCAGAAGCCTCTCAGAAAGGCGGAGGCAAAGCTGGGCTGTGTTTGCCTTTTCAGAGTCTTCCACTAAGATTAATGAAATTGCTTAATACTGGGAAGGATCATGGTATAGTAGTTAAGGATTGGTACCTACAGGAAGGCAAGGGTTTAGAAGCGTCTTGGAGAGGGGACACACAATTCCATCTATTCAGAAGTTAAACAATCTGCCGTTTGCTTAAATGCTTTTTGCAAAGTTCCCGAAACGAACAATGAACTTGTTTTATTTGCAACTTTTCTCTTCCTGGGCGAGCGTTTCCTGGAATAGGGAAGTTGTGTGGATGAAGACAGTGGAATAATAAAGCCACAGTGATATGATCAGGTCATTGTGTGGGCGTAGATAGTTTCGATTCTCAGAGAGAAATCCGGTGGGGTGTTTAAGATTCTCGCTGAGTGAGGATTTTTTAAAAAAATACAGTAAGTCCCTTACATACGAACGAGTTCCGTTCCGAGAGCGCATTCATAAGTCCAGTTTGTTCGTAAGTCCAACAGAGTTAGCCTAGGTGCCCAACACAGTCGGCTCTATAGTACTGTATTGTGGTAGGTTTATAACACTTTTCACACAAGTAATACATAAAAAACAAACACAGAAAATAAAGAAAACATTTTTAATCTTGCAGTACAGTACCTTGAAAAGTACAGTAGCACCAGTACAAGAGCTGGCACACAGGGGCTGCCATCGAGTGAACAGGCAGGAAGAGTTACTGACTAGAGGAGGGAGAGGAGGTGGGAGATGGTAGAGCTGAAGGGTCGTCAGCAACAGGAGACGGAGGAAGCTGCAGTGTCACTCACGCCTGACGTTGATGGCGCAGGTTCTGGTTCCTTTGCTGGAACCAGATGCACGTTTGCATCTTTGAAAGCTTGCACCTGGAAGGTTTGTATGTCGGGGACTTACTGTAATAAGTGTGCTTTTCCAGCTCATAAAGTCTTATGTATCCACTAATAATCGATAAAATACTAAAAACTATAAGTAAGGAAAAAAATGGCCCATATCTCAGGGCATTAGGCTCCTAGGGGGCTGTAACAAAGGAGCATCAATTGAGTTGCTTAAGACAACAGAAATTGATCGTCTCACAGCTCTGGAGGCCAAAGTCAAGTCCGAAACGAGTGTCAGTAGGGCCGTGCTCCCTCTGAGACTCTAGGTAGGACCTTCCTTGCCTCTTGCAAGCGCCTGGTGGGGGCAGGCCTCGTGGAGTCCTTGGCTTTCGACTGCATCTTTCCAGGCCCTGCCTCAGTCATCACGTGCTGTCCTTCCTGTGTGTCTCTGTCCTTACACAGCATTTTCTTCTTGTAAGGACCCACTCATACAGGATTAGGGCCCATCCTAATGACTGTACCCTAATTAATTACATCTGCAAAGATCCTATTTCCAAATAAGGTCACATTCACAGGTACTGGGGTTAGGACTTTAACAAATCTTCCTGGGGACACAGTTCAACCCATAATACTGTCTACCCAGAAATGACCACTGTGGACATCCCTTCTAGACTGTCCCCTGATCAGGACAACAGATGGTGGTGACCTGCATCGAGGGGGTGACAGCGAGCATCAGGTACTTGGGGAGAGCCAAGGGTTTTAGGAAGCAAAATTGACAAGATTTGGTCATTAATCGGATGCTGTCGAGAGGACAGAGGTGTCTAGGATACGTAAGTCCATCCCCGCAGCGGGAGCCCAGGAAGGCAAGCAGCGTGGGGTCAGATGGCGAGGTCAGACGTTGGCGTGGTGCGTTTGAGTTGCCAGGAGACCGTCTGAGCAGAGATGCCCAGTGAGAGAAGTCAGGTCAGGGGTCTGGGTCTCAGATGGGCATCGTCTCCACCCCCATGGTGGTTGCAGCCACCGGACTGGGTGAGAATCCCAGGGAGAGCATGGGGGCTGAGAATTCAGGCAAGAGAGAGATGCGGGAGTCCCAGATATCAGGGGTGCGTCCAGGGTCCGCAGTGTCCCCGTTTGCCCTGTCTAAACCAGGAGAGACCGGGGTTACGATGCCTAGCATCTGAGAGGTACTGCTGGATAATGACCTTCCGTGGATTATCCCCTGTGATCCGCAGGTCAACCCTGGTGGCTGTATCACTCTTACCCTCATGTTACAGACAGGGAGCAGGTACACCCAGTTCAGAATCCTGCCCAAGGTCTTGTCGTGGTGGTAAGGAAAGCTGGTGCTAACATCCAGGTACTCTGGTCAGTGGTAATGGAAAATCTATTCCATGGAATTTATTAAGCATGTGCTAAGTGCCAAGCCCTGTTGTGGATGCTTGGAATCCGTCCGTGGACAAAGCTCCCAGCATCCACGGAGCTTCTGTTGTAGGCCTTCCCTGGGCTGTGCGTCCACGCGCATCCTCCCAGCGCCCCGAGGCTGTGAGCGGCTCTGCGAGAGCCCTGTGTTACCAAGGTGGAAGCAGTCTGCCCGAAGCCCCAGAGCTGGGGGCCCCTCTCTCTGACCCCTAAGCCGGTGTGCCTGGCCGTCAGCTCTGACGTTACCTGCTGCCTCCAGCTCTGAGTCCTGCGTTTTCCCAGTGTCCCGGGTGCCGGGAAAACTTGGGCTCAAGTTCAGGCTCAAATTGGGACCCCATTGTCTATTTGCCGTGGAAGATTAGGTGCTGCGGACTGAACTGTGACCCATAGGGATTGAAGCCCTAACCCTCAATGTGACTGTATTTGGAGACAGGGCATTTAGAAGGTAATTAAGGTTAAATGAAGTCACAAGGGTGAGGTCCTAATCCGATGGGATTGGCCTTACAACTAGAGGAAGAGAGCTGTCTCTCTAAGCCTGCCCAGAGGAAAGGCCATGAGGACACAGTGAGGAGACAGCCGTCGTCTGTAAGCAAAGAAGGTCCTCACCAAAACTGAATCAGCCAGCACCTTATTTGGAGGACTTATAGCCTCCAGAACTGTGAGAAATAGAAATAAATTTCTGTTGTTTAAGCTCTGCTATGGCGTTTTATTAGGGCAACCTTGAGCAGACTAAAACATTAGGCAGATCACTTAATCTCACTGAGCTTCACGTTTTTCATACGTTAAACGGGAATATCAGTACCTGTAAGAATTAAAGATGAATATTTAGGAAAACATTTCGCACAGTGTCTGGCACACACCTACCTGGTGCTTAGCTGTTACGCATAGCTATGCTATTATGATTAGGCTAAGGGGCACACCTCATCTCTAACCGCTTCCTACGTCCATAGCTCTGGCTTGGCGGCTTTGGGGATCATGTGACCCATATAAGAAATTCATGGAAGCATAAGAATTGCTCACGTGAAGCATCGTTCACGAGGCTAAGCTTACCCTTACCGTGTGCAGCGCACTCAGATGCTTTCTCCTCTATAGCGTGGTGGTTTTGTTTTGTTTTGTTTTTTAGCACAGGTTACCACACACCGAGTTTAGCTCACAGCCCTAAATGGTTACATCCCAAAGTTTGAAACACCCGGAGCAGTGAGATGGGGGGAAACAGCACCCCCTCCACCCCCAGGTGGGCAGGATTCAGGTGCCGGTCATGCAGTGCAAGGTCTTGGTGAGACTTTAAA